ACATACACAGTGACATGATAACCAGTGAATTTAATTGATTTCTTTTTTAATAGACAATAACAAGGTATTTCAAGAGGACAATTTTGGCAACATTAGATGACATGCGTGTCAATTGCTACTGCAATCTGCTGAAAGTCATGGAAAGGGTAAAGGATATTCTGAGTAAAGAGGAGTTGCAGGATTTCAAAGAAACTGTTTTTGGTTGGCTTGTAGATTTTGATAGCATGGATTGGGTTAGTGGACAGCTACAACTTGGGTTTGTAGGAAACTATGTGCAGTATGTTAATGGGTTGATAGACAAGAATGTGATGCGATTCCATATCCGAAATAGTGTAATAAGTTTCACAAAGCAGGATTTGGCAATAGTCACTGGTTTAAAACTGAGTGGGGACAAACCGGTGGTGGCACAAGAGCATATGGGAGATATCTGGAATAGGTATTTAGGAGGCAAGGCCACAGTTGCAAGGAGTGACATTTTAAAGGCAATTAGTAATTACAAGAGTACTGATCCATCAAGTATGAGGTATGATGGGGTCAAACTGGCACTTCTTTATATACTTTCACACGGGTTCTTAGGAAATCAAACAGCAAAACCATTGGAGTCACACTATTTGAATCTGGTTGATGATTTAGAAGCTTTTAAAGCCTACCCGTGGGGTGAAGTTGTGTGGAATGAGTTGATAACTGATATGAAACAAAGCTGTGAAGCACTAGAAAACTGCAAAAAGGAAAGAGTGACATTCCCAGGTTGCATGATTGCACTACAAGTATGGGCATTTGAAACATTCCCAAGCTTGTCAAAGGGAGGTTTGTGTAAAGTGATAGAAGGAAGAGAAAATATCATGCCAAGGACACTGAAGTGGGAGTTTCATAAGAAGCCTCGACTGGATCTTTTGTGTGACCTAATTTTCTATAACGACAAGGTATATGACATATTAATAATACATATTATATATTCTGTGATGTCATTGAGAAAACATATTATTACTAATATGGTGTGTTGTGTCAGTTTGAATGGACAGGTATTGTTCCAGTTGACCAGGAGCTTCATTTGATTGAAGGATTCAATATTGATGGTCCTAGAGTGGAAGTTGAAGAAAATGAGCAAAGAAAAGAAGGAAATGGAGCTTCAGATGTAGAAAAAAGAACAAAAAATACCAAGGCTGCGAAGGGAAAAAAAATAGCAGTGAAAAAGGGAAGAACAGTTAAGGAAAATGCTGGTGAAGGCACTTCAAAAGCAAAAAAAAATGGTGTAAAGGAAAAACAAAGTGATAATGATAGTGATTTTGAAGCAGATGAAAGTGAAAAAACCACAAGTATTGCTTCACGTACAAGACAAAGAGGTCAAAAGATGAAAGGAAAGGGAAAACAAGTGCAACAGATTGCCAAAAAGAAGGCAGTTATGAAACACACCAAGAGAAGGCCTGTAAATGTTGCAGAAGGAATTTCAAAATGGAAGAGGAAGGGTGGAAAAGCAAGAGAGAGCAAGGATGATAAGGATTATGAAGGAGATGAAACTGAGGAAAGCGAGGATGAAAGTGGAGGGAAGATAAATGCTGGGTTATGTACCAAAGAAGCAAAAACTTTAATGAAGAAAATCAGGAAGCAAACAGCAAGAACTGCCAAAATAATGGCAGATGTCAAAGAAATCAAGCGAAGACAAGTTAAGCAAGAGGTGGTACTAAACAAAATTCTTCGCTTTGTGAGAGATTTGACAAGGCATCAAATGAATAGGAATGAAGGAGGAATGCCAGGACAAGAAGAAACTGTAGAAGAGGACAAGGAAAATGTTGATGAGGATAATGAAATGCAGAAAGGAGATGAAAATCATGAGGATGAGGATGATGACTTATGTGGAGCAGGAATGCAACAGAAAAACAAGAAAGGAAACAACACAAATGGAGGAAAAAATTTTGAGCAGCCAGAAGGGGTTGTGGAGGAAGAACAGAATAGGGAGGGAGATAAGATCATTACTGAAGAATTAAATGCAGAGGAGGCAGATGATATTGTGGTGCAAGAAGAAATTAGGGAGGGAGATGCATCAGAGGCCAGAAATGGAAGACAACATGTTGAGAAGGGGAAGCCTATTGTGCAGCAAAATGATATGCCTAACTTTGATATATTTTCATTTCAAACTCAGCCAGAAGTTGAAGGAAGACCAAAAGAGAATGAAGGAAGTACTGAGGGCAAAGATGAAAGAGAAAAAAAAGAAATGAACACAGAGAAGGAACAAGATGCAGATATGTGGGGCATGGGCGGCTCTCAAGAAGATAGTCAATTTGTGAAGGAAGTGTGTAAAAATGTTGAAGAGGTTGAGAAAGTGGCATTACAAAGTACAGATTCTAGAAAAAATATTGCCAGAAGACACACAGTTTGAAAATGAGCTCTGCAAACATTTGGATGAAGTTGAAAAGGTGGCATTACAGAGAAAGACTTCAGAAAAAACCAAACAAATAATTCTTGTAGCTAATGTGGTAAGAAAGAAATAAATATAATGCATTAAAATCAAGTTGGTTTAATATTATATAATTAAATAATATGTTTAATGTAAACAGGTGAGAGAGAAGAGATGTCCAAGATCACCAGCGAGGTACACACCATCAGAAAATACTGTTGAAGTAAAGAGGAGAAAGAAAGAAAGAACAATGAAAAGGAATCATGACATATTTTTACCACCACCAAGCTCAGTATATGGGCCATTCTCTGAAGACCCAACTGAAGCGCCACTTGAGATCGAAATGAAGAGAATTGGTGACTTTCTAAGTATTGGTCTGCTAAAGAAAAAAAAAAGGGGGGGTGAAAACATAAAGTACAAGAAGGATGAAGAAAAAATGAATGGAATTCCAATGTTGCTGGACATGATAAAAATTGAGTCCAAGACATGGCTATACAATCTTTACTTCCCAGATCAGTGGCTGCAAGACACGGTATGTCACATCAAATCTATATTACAAAATTAATAAATCTTAATCATTATTGCCATTAATGTGTGTATACAAGGATATAATTATCAAAAAACTGTATTGCTTATACAATTTTTTTATATATAAAATACAGCATATGGACGTGGGAATGCACTATTTGGCAGTGAAAAGAGTTCATTACAAACTCAGACAACAATATAGCACAACTGGACCGTTTTTTATTACAATGCTGAGGACGCTACATGAGGACATAGGAAAGAACAAAGCAACTGTTCAGAGTGCAGCAGAGAATGATCTCATTATGCATGATGTCTTGGGGACTACATCAAAATTTTCACTGCATTGGACAGATGCTGAATTTGTGTACTTCCCATTAAATGTTGGTAAACATTGGGTGTTATTAGTGTTGGACATCAATAAGAGAAAGGTGAAACTCTACAACTCCATTTCCAGAACGGGGTATTCATTGAGAGATATCAGACCGTTCATACCAAGCATCAAGTTTTTGCTTCCCAAAATCATGGACTGCCTGAAAGTGTATGAAATCAAGGGCGAAGAGCCAATGGGAGAGAGGCCACTAGAAATTGAAGTTGAAGAGAACTGCCCACAGCAAAATAATGCGTAAGTAAATAACAAGTTGTCAACAAAGCTAATGGTGAATTTTAAATGAAAAGGTATATGTACATTATTAAAGATGTAATTAAGGCTAATTTAATGAATGTTTTCATTTGATTACAGGTTCGACTGTGGAATGTATGTCCTAAAGATTGCTGAGTTTCTGATAATGGAAATGACTTTTGAGTGCATCGATCCAGACCTAATGCCTATGTACAGGAAAAAAATGGCAACAGAGTTGGTTTTATACAGTGAAAGGAGATTGGAAGAAGCAAAAGGAATGCACCTGCCAAAGTTTATCAAGGATTGAAGTGAAGTGTTGATGATAAATGGAGTTTTAATGCCAATAATGTCTTGAACAAATGGTTTTAATATGTAATAAGTTTGTTTTGCTTTAAGAGAAGTTCCAAAAACACCTGGATTTCTGTGAACTTTGATTCTGTGCTTTTGTTTTGCTATGGATACTGCTTATATGATATGACTGTGGTTTGTGGTTTTAAGTTTGTTTGGTAATTTTTGTTTTGCGTTATGAAATACTGTCATACCAGTGGAAGTTATGAAAAGGAAATGCCATTATTCTTAGGTTATTCTCAAATGACAGAAATGATGCTGAATAATATTTTTTTTTAAATTTCTATTTTTTTTATTAAAAAAAGAGAGAATACAAAAAAAGGGGGGTGACTAAACCAAAACCCCTTCTGATGAGGCATACCTCATCGAAATACAACAAGAAAAAATTGGAAGGAGAAAATTGCAAGTAAATATGGGGGGCATAAAAATCTGACCCATAATAAAAAATAAAGGAAATCAAAGCATTATAAAATTACAAACGTCTAAAATATGCTGAATGATATAAGTATAAAAACTGGTACACATAAACATACGTATTAACAAAAAAAGTGTTTTCAAAGATATTTTTTTAAATGAGATATATAAAAAGTAAGAAGTTAGTGTAAAATAATGCAAATCATAAAAAGCTAAATAAAAAAGAAGATAAAGGGAAAGTTACAAAAGAAATAACATATTGAAATTACACAATTGAAAGGTTGTAGTATTCACTCATTAAAAAAACAAAAACGTGAACAAAAAAGTGGCACTACAGATCACAAAGTGCCGTAATGTATTCTTTTTTCCTAGAAATAAATTGCCAAAATTCATGGTCAGCTAAAATCATACCATTACAAATTTATGATAAAAACCAACATTTACTAGGAATATAGTCATTGTAAAAAGTCAACAAATAAGTCATGTTTCATCCATTTACAAAATGCAATCTTATCAAGTATAACAGCATTTAAAGGAACTAATTATGCCAAGAATATAACTGCACAAACAATCTATAATGAAAATTAAAACTGAGATTATAAACTGTAAAATGAGTACATCAAGTCTTATTATTATAGAAAGTAACATTCCAATAACATCTCTTCTTATTATGGCGATAATAAAAAGTAAAGGACTCTAAAAACTGTGTAAAGGAAGTCAATTTTTATCGACTGGAAGAGCATTACGGCAAGTCTTCTTATTGTGGCCAAAAACTTTGCAGCGAGAACACTTTCGACGTTTGGAACCAACATGTTCTCCAATTGATGGGATTCTGGACCTTTTGGGTCGCCCTGGTGGGCGCTTCAAACATGTAGGAGGCTTGCAAATAGTACTTGAAACATCAGAAGGAATGATCCAATCTTCAGGATCTCCAATTGGGTGCATTATACCACTCCAAGTTGCCAACAAGTGATCTCTTGTGTAGTAAGAGGATATGTAACTGTAACAAGATAGACCAGGGCGTGAACCAATTGCAGCGACAGCATGAACACAAACAAAATGATTTAATTGAAACTGCCCACAAGTGCATATTCTTGAATTAAGGTTGACCACAAAGCGTCTACATTTCCTATCAATGACCTCAAACTCATATGCACAAGATGCATTCACCTAAAATCAAATGTAAGAGCATAAGAAAACAAGGATCATGAAAGCTGAATATAGCAACATATATATAAAAGAGCAAAGTAATGGTAGTTAGTATAAAACTTTGGCAGTCTGCAATTTTAAATGCCAAAAACTAATAAAACACATAATGCATTAACAGGTACTTTTAATACAACTAAAGCATACCTTCATACGACTTGATTCAAATTGTAAGGAAACCAGAAGCTTTTCATATTTTTCAGAGAGCTTTGTACATGTAGATTCAGCTATTTCCCTCCTTGCTTTAAACCATTCTTGCATTCTTTCACGCAAAAAATTGATGAGTTTGGAAACACAGTACTGTCTTGCACAAGCATTCACACTATTTAAAGATTCAGCACAGTTTGAGGTCATCACATTAAATCTATTGAAACCAGACATACATTTAGCCCATTTTTCAATACCAACTTTTTCTAACCATGGGCGTATTCTGGCATCTTGAGTATCTAACAGTGACATGTAATACTCAAACTCTTTCACAGTTGAAGCCGAATATGCAGCTTTAAATTTCCAACCCAAATCTTTTGCAGAGCCTCTGAATTTCGATGTCATATTGCGGCGTAAGTGTTCAACACAAAAGCCATGGCCAGAATGTGGAAATATTTTACGAACAGCACTAAGAATCCCTTTATGCCTATCAGATATGATATACATGTCAGAACGATGTTCAATACATGAACGAACCTTGGATAAGAACCACCGCCAAGTTGCTTTACTTTCAGACTCACATATACAAAAAGCTATAGGAACAATTTGATTATTCGCGTCCTGAGCACAAGCTGTCAACAAGGTGCCTTTGTAATATGATTTCATGAATGATCCATCCAAAATAAGCACGGGCCTACAATACTGCCACGCATCTCTCCAAGGACCAAGTGACATGAAAAAATACTGAAAAGCATCATCAGCACTTGTAACAAGATTAACAACAGATCTTGGATTTGTCTTATTTAGCATGTAAGCAATTGAAGGCAGCATCTGGTAAGACTCAGAATCAGAACCAAATTGCATTTCCATCGCTTTCTTTCGAGCTTTCCATGACTTCTTATATGACATCGAAATACCATAATCCATGCTCATATCAGCAATGAGTTGTTTAGGTGTGTACGGGTTTATAGAAGCATCCAAAAATTTATGTGCAACCATATTTGCAATGACATCATATGTCGCTTGCCTATGTTTGCCCTGTCTATAGTCAATAGAGCAAACATGTTCTGGATCATACCTGGAGATTAAAAAATGTACAGGTCATAAAAGCTAAGAGGTAGATATGTCATTCAAAAACAAGTACGTAAACACAAAATGCCATGTTTATGGCATCTCACAGAACAAGAAAACTGAATACACAACTGAAAAGATTAAAATCACTAATTCATATGCTATACATTCTGAATTATTGAATATTAACTGAAACCAAAGAAAACTACAATAATAGAAAAAGTGTAAGCACAAAACCTAGTACTGCACATGTGAACTTAAAAAGAAAAAGAACAAGCATAAATATAAAAGAAGAGTAGATATCTGAAGTCACCTGCGGATCTGAAACATCTCAACACCATTCAATTTGATAGCACGAACAGCCCAATCACAATCCGGATCTAAACAAATAACATGTAAAGTTTTTTTTTTTTTGAAGTTTTGGTTCTGTATTGAAAGCTGTTACTGATGGCAAACATCTTCAAATGATATATCAGCTCACGCTTATTCTGGTATATAGCATATAGAGCAATGCAAGTTGGATGATGATGTGTGAGAACTTCCAGATTGTGGAAACTGTAAATTGATTTAGGAGATGGTGGGAGAGATTCATCTGAAAACGAATCACTGTCTTCTGAATGTGAGGTGCTTTCATTGACCACAGAAGTTAATAAGTCACTAAATGATGACAAAGATTCAGAACGAACACCATCACCAAAATCAAAGGCACAGTGTTTACCACTAGTAGTTCCTTGACAAATAATGTTGGAAGAAGACTGACCAGAAGAAGTATATGACTGATAAGATGGAATATATTGCTCCTCAGAATGAATGGTAAGAGTATTTGTAGAAAAAAACTCCACACATAAAGGAAACTTATAAAGATCAGTTTCTATCAACTTAAGGTCAAGGTAAAATCTGAAACTGGACTCATCATTAATTTCAACAGGCTGAGGGAAACCTTCAAGAAAATAGGAGAGTTTGAATTTATGATGAGGCCTATACTGAAGAAGCATCTCCGTAAACATTGCAATAAACGAATCATATGTTGCAAGAGAGCGGACATGAATAGCATACGTATGAGTATGATTAAACGTAAAGTCAGAAGACCAGCTACCATCAAACTTCAGCATAACAAATACAGCAGGATCCATCAAACTGAAAATTCACATATAAACCAAAGCAGAAAAAGTAAGCACAACACAGAGAAACTTGGCAGTAAATATATAAAAATGACAACGAATTACAAAAACAATCAAAATATGGCAATAACTAAACATAAACAAACATAAAACCTCATTCCGTGGATATTTCAATTCACAAACATAAACAAACATCAAAAAAATGGCAAAGACAAAAGAAGAGAACAATAATGAATCACAAATCAAAAACACAAAAGAAATTATCTAATTCAAATACAAAACACTACAAATCACGTGTTGATTACATCGAAAAAACAATAACAAAAGTTAAGCGTAATACATGAACAATTACAAATTAACGATTGAATTAAACGTAAATAATTACAATTTAAGTATTGAATTACATACCTGGAAATTTGAGGTCCAATTGAATTAATGTCCGATTGTGCGCTCTCAAAATCGATGAACAACGACGATCGACGAAGAACAAAAAAACAGAAAGAATCGCGATGGAGAAGATAGAAGGAAGGAAAGTTCAGAAATAGCTTCCTAAAACCGAAACAAAATAAACGGCAGGGAGAAGGTAGTTAAACGAATGACGGCGGAAACGAGTTAAACGAATAACGGCGGAAACGATAATTAAACATTTATTAAAGAAGGTTATAATGGACATTTGACAAATAGACGTAATTATAATAGGACTAAGACAGTCCTAAATAGGGAAAACTATATTATCGGTCCTATGATGGAGTTTAACAATTAATTAAGTCCCACTTAGAGCAAAAATTTCTAGAAAAAGTGAAAAGCAGTTTAAAGCACCCTTCTACCTGCTTCCAGCTTTTAGCTTTTAAGTGATTAATTTAAGCAGAAGTTGTCATTTGAAAACACTCTTTTCAACTTTTTTTAAACCAAAAGCTGAAAAGCGCTTTTTTTAACCAATCTCAAACACTCCTGTGTCTAATACGGAGTAAGGTTTCCTTGGCACCTAAAAGGCGAAAACCCTCAAAAAACATCCTAGGAACATAGAAACCCCGAACTTGTTTTTGCTGACCACAAACCAATATGCTTCGTTCGCACAATCCCAATTCCCAACCAGACACTTCTGCTTACAGTGTACAAAGTAGAAAGTAGAGAGCAGAAGAGGGGGAATTGTAAGTGCTAGGATCGTATTCAATTCGACTAATTACATTCCAGAAGAAAAAACAGGGGAGAAGCAAAAGAGGATGAATAAGTCGTTATCGCATGGAGTCCATAATTGGAAGAGTTTGCAATCGATAGCCAAGAAGATTGCTCACAAATCAAAGCGCTTTTTCAGCACTTCGAAAGAGAACGAAGCAACAGCTGAAGACGTCTGCAAAATTTTAGGGCTTAAGAACTGGCAATTCCTCTTAGATTCATCGGGAGTGCCATCAAAACTCAACCCGGACGTGCTTTACTCGGTGCTTCACAGAAGCAGATCGGCTGTCCACCCAAAGCGCATGCTTTTCTTCTTCGATTGGTCCTCCCAGAAAATGGGTATTCCTCCGGACATAAATTCTTTTTCTATTCTTGCTGTAGCATTATGTCATTCCAACTTATACTCGGCAGCATCTAGTTTGTTGGAGAAAATGATTGAATGCCCATTTTGCATCTTCGATATTTTAAGCTCATTGCGGAAGCACTTTGAAGAATGTGGTAGGTCTACATCAAGTTCCCTAGTTTTTGAGTTGCTAATTGTTGCTCTGAGGAAAAAGGGCATGTTGAATGAAGCTGTTTCAGTGTTTTTGGGTGTTAAAGATGTTGAGCCTGCACCTGGTTTGCTTTGTTGTAACTCATTGCTGAAGGATTTAATCAAGGGGAATAAAATGGAGATGTTTTGGAGTGTTCATAATGCAATGGTGGAGAGAAATATCGCTCCAAATGCTTACACTTGTACTACTGTTATTAATGCTTATTGCAAGTGTGGGAATGTAGGGGAGGCCAAAAAGTTGCTCTTTGAGATGTTAGAGAAGGGATGGAATTCAAATTTGGTTACTTATAATGTGGTGATCAAGGGGTTATGTGGCTCCGGGCATGTTGACGAGGCAGTAGAGTTGAAGAAGACAATGGTGGAGAGGGGCCTAGGACCGGATAGTTATACTTATGGCTCACTCATAGACGGGTTTTGCAAGAAAAAAAGGTCTAAGGAAGCAAAGCTGATTTTGAAGGAAATGTGGGAAGTGGGTGTCAAACCCAACCATTTTGCCTACACTCCACTAGTTGATGGTTTAATGAAAGAGGGTGATATAGAAGAAGCATTTAAAGTCAAGGATGAAATGGTTGCGCGTGGGATCAATTTGAATCTTGTGACTTATAATACTATATTGAGTGGGCTCTGTAAATTAGGTAAAATGGAGAAAGCTATAAATCTTAAGACTGAAATGATTGCCATGGGTTTATATCCTGACACTCAGGCATACAATTATTTGATAGAGGGATACTTCCTGCAGAATAACATGGGAGGGGCTTCTGAAATACTGGCTGAGATGAAAGAAAGAAATTTGAGGCCTAATGCATACACTTTCGGAAACCTAATCAATGGATTTTGTCTTACTGGAGATCACAGTAAAGCAATTCATACACTGGAACAAATGATTAAGGCAGGTGTTAGAGCAAGTGCTGCTATTCTGACTCCTATTTTAAAATGTTATATTCAGAATGGGGAATTCGAAGCAGCACAAACTTTCTTGGATGAAATGTGGTTGAAACACGTGTTGCCTGATGTCTTTTGTTATAATTACATTATTATTGGTCTCTGCAAAGCTGGAAGAATGGAAGAAGCACAAGTGTGTTTAGATAAGATGGAGAAGAGGGAATTAAGGCCAAATGGATACACTTTTGGAGCTTTTATTTTTGCCTATACGGAAAAGGGTGAAGTCCAAATGGCAGAGCAGTATTTTAATGAAATGCTTGGTCGAGGTATAGCACCCGATATTGTGCATTATACATCTATGGTTGATGGATACTGCAAATCGGGGAATACAATTAAAGCACTTTCAGAATTCAGATCCATGCTCGGCCAAGGGCTCCTCCCAGATGTGAAACTATACACTGTACTTATAAGTGGCTTTTCTAAATGGGGAAAATTGTCAGAAGCCATGGATGTTTTATCTGAACTCTGTGATAGGGGGTTAGTCCCTGATGTTTTTACCTACACCTCTATTATTTCTGGTTTCTGCAAGATTGGTAAAACGGAAGAGGCTTTTCAACTTCTTGATGAAATGTATAAGAAGGGTATTCTTCCCAATATTGCCACATATAATGCCTTAATAAGTGGACTTTGCAACTCAGGTAACCTTCTAAGAGCTAGGGACCTGTTTGATGGAATCCCTGAGAAGGGTTTGGCACCAAATGGCTTGACATATGCTACTATTATATATGGTTATGCAAAAAAGGGGAATCTAGATGAATCATATCATTTGTTTGAAGAAATGCAATCAAAGGGCTTTCAACCAGATGTCTCCACATACAGTGCTATCATCCATGGATGCTTCAAGGAAGGAGAATCAGAAAGGGCATTGTCGACATTTCAAGAATTAGTAGAGAGTGGGATGAAATCCTATGATAAAAAAGAATTTAAGTAGGATGAAATCCAATGGTAAAAAATTTGTGTGCTGCTTATAGGTTGAAGAAGTAAGGGTTAGAGAAGGAAAGGCGGTGAATATCCATATGTTATGCAGCCGCAAACCAGGCCTATTACTCTCAACCATGAAAGCTCGTGACAACCTTGGTATAGACATCCAACAGGCTGTCATTAGCTGCTTCAACGGGTTTGCCTTGGAAATCTTTCGAGCAGAGGTAATTTTAGATATCTGTTGAAAAATATCACAAACCAAAAAATAATAAAATTAAATTACACATGTTATCTTTTTGCAAGTGCCCCTTATTGATGATAAGCCATACTGCCACCGGATAATAAATAATAAAATACAAATCAACATATAAGACATAGTGATATTTCTCTTATCATTTGATCTATAAGTTTTAATAATTGTTATACTCTTCTGAAATCACATACGGAGTACTCTATAATGACTAAGTTTTGAGCTATATATTGTATATACCCTTTAATATAATCACAATATTGAATATTCAGCTTTTATATGAACTTGAATATTAGAGATTTCTTGTATGTATTACTTTTTTACTTTCTGAAAGTAATTTGGGAGACCTCATTATTCCAGCAATGCAAGGAAGGTCCTGATGTCCATCTGATCAAATCAAAACTCTACGTATGGACTCAGCGAGTTTCAACCAGATGATTTAATAAGCTTTGGAGGAGCCAGTAGGGACATTTTCTGATGCAAGTCACAGGCATCTTTGTTGTTCAGATCATCTCGCAGTTCCTCTTGGTTTGCATAACCTTCTAGTTTCAACATTTCAGCTTAGCACCTTAGCTTTAACCATTTATATGTTTCGTCTTTTCCCGATGGGAAACCGTTGTTATTTGTTTTGTTAGTTCTGGAAACTGAGCATGTAGAACATTACTGTTCTTAAGTGGTTTCAAGCCACTTTTGCGGAAGTTTCTTTCGATGTGTTATCTTGTTATGTGAAGTTAGGCACCTTATAGAGCATGTCTCTTCTGAAGTGCAACTTCTCATTCTCAAGTTCATTTATGCTCACAGCTCACCTTGATCGTATCAGATGTATTGCGAGTCAGTTCTACACGAGAAAAACATCCCTTAATAATGTACGCAGAGGACATTATTAATAGATACTCCTCCGCCCCACAAAATAGTTCTCAGTTTTCTTTTTGGGCCGTCCCAAAAAATTGTTCATATTTCCCCTTTTGGAAAGTTTTTTGTGGCTACCATTCATTTACATTTTTCTTATTCAACCACAATCATACATTTTCACTTTATTATCTCTTTCTTAAACTCCGATCTAAATCCTTGTGGGAACTATTTTATGTGACATAGGGAGTATGAAGTTTAGATTTTGGACATAATATATGTATACTACTTTATGTGACATAGGGAGTATGAAGTTTAAATTTTGGACATAATATATGTATACTAATCCTCCGTAGGCATGGACCGGTTCCGGGCCGGTCCAAACCGGGCTTTTACTTTTTGACGGCGGGCCCGGAACCGGTCCGGTTTGCAACCGGGTCCGGTCTCGGGCCGGTTCATTTTTTTTTCTTTTCTAATTAACCCCCGACCCCCTTACCCCCACCCCCTAAAACACCTAGCCTAACCTTGGAAAAACAAAAAAAAATTGAAAAAAACAAAAAAACAAAATTAAATAGGCCCGAACCAGGCCCGGGCCGGTTCCAAAGGAAGGGTAGGCCCGGAACCGTACCGCTCTAACACACCGGGCCGGCCCCAAGGAAGGGTAGGCCCGGAACCGTACCGCTCTAACACACTGGGCCAGTCCTAGGCCCGGTTCCCAGCCTAGTTCACCAGGCCGATCCAGGCCCGCACAGTGGCGGGTCGGGCCGGTTCCCGGGTTGGGCCGACCAGAACCGGTCCCTGCCTAATCCTCCGGGCAATTATATATGTATACATATATGATATATATTGTGCATCTGTATGAACCATGCCCATGATCATCTAAATGGTGAAATGTGCATTTATTTAATACAAATATACAATATGAGATTTTTCAAACACAAAAAGAGAATATTTTAGTTATTCAAAGGAAGACTTTGACTTTGCATCACATGTTTGGAATGATATTTGATTTTGCACCATATTTTCAATAGTAATTGCCCTAAATAGGACTAAAACTTGCCTAAAAATCATAAATAGAACTAAAGTCCTACATCATTCACAAATAAGACTAAATATTAACTTTCTACCCTAAATATCCCTAAGGGTATTAATTCATGAAATATTTTAATTCATTATAAAATCATAAGAAATCGTAAAAAAAGTTAATAAAATATTTATAAAATAAAAAATTCAAAACAATTTTTTGGGATTTTTTATTAATAAAAATAGGGGAAAAATAATTAAAATACCCTAAACTTTGAAGGGGTGTGAGGTAAGCACCCCAATCTTGCATATGTAATTTAAATATCCTAAACTTTATATAAAAAGTTACTTTAGCACCATGACCATGCATTATTTCTTTCAAAAATGTTAATTTTTTGTGTTAATTTCATAATTTAAAATATTTTAGCATTCATGAAGATACAATTCACATTCTCAACTTCAATTGTAAAATAAATAATACTACCCCCACTCTATATAATTGGTGCATTTTTAGTTTTTTATTCTAAATTATGCAATTAGCAATATGAATCTACATTTTTGAAAAAAATAATATACAACCATGGTGCTAAAATAACTTTTTGTATAAAGTTTAGGGTATTTAAATTACATACAAAAGTTTGGGGTATTTATCTCACACCCCTTTAAAGTTTAGGGTATTTTAATTATTTTTCCCTAAAAATAGTAAAACCCAATAAAAAATATGGATGCTTTCTCATCGCCTCTACCGCCTCCCAACACCACCACCTCTGACCGGTGAATAATATGCCAAAAATAATTATAAAATGATATTAATGAAGGAAATGGCGAAACTATGTATTTCTGAACTAAGTATGACTATTTTATATGTTTTGGATTTTAAATTATATAAATGACTTAATTGAGCCTTATAATGAAACTTATGTATTTAAATAGCAAAATGGGGAGGAATTAAATATTATGAACATTGTTTTGATCCCTAAAAAAGATAAGCCGGAAAATATGGGTGATTAGAGACCTATTGCATTATGTAATGTTGTATACAAAATTTTCTCAAAAGTTATTGCTAATAGACTAAAAGGCATTCTGGGGGGTTTAGTTGGAGAGAGCCAGAGTGCATTTATACCAGAGAGAACAATTGTTGACAATATTATCGTGGCTTTTGAGACTCAACATTTTATTAAAAGGAAAAGCACTGGAAAGGAAGGGTATGTGGCAATGAAGTTAGACATGAGCAAGGCATATGATAGAGTCAGCTGGAATTTCTTAAAAGAAATTATGGTGAGAATGGGCTTCCAGACCAGATGGGTGGATATTGTGATGATGTGTGTTACATCTGTTAGCTATTATGTCCAGTTTGATAAAGCTTATTTAGGACCGATTGCACCAGGAAGAGGTCTTCGACAGGGGGATCCTCTGTCACCATATCTATTTATTTTAGTGGCAGAAGGACTGAGTGTGATGTTTCGATGGGCTGAACAGATGAGGAATTTGCAAGGAATTTCGGTTTGTCGGGGAGCGCCTAAGGTGTCACATTTATTATTTGCTGATGATTGCTTTTTATTCTTTAAGGCAACTGAGATGAATTGTACTGCGATTAAAAATATTCTTCAGGATTATGAGAAAGGTTTAGGGCAGATGGTCAATTTTAATAAATCTTCCTTGACATTTAGCCCAAATGTAGGAGAACCTTTTCGCGAGTATTGCTGCCAGCATTTTTGGCATTTCTAGGAATGGAGGCCAGAGTTTTTATCTTGGACTTCCAGCTCTTGTGGGGAAAAATAAGAAGGTGATTCTTAGTTATCTTCGGGACAGGATCTTTAGCAGAATTAAGAGCTGGAATAATAGATTTTTTTCTCGTGCGGGGAGGGCTGTTCTGTTACGGAATGTGGTGCAGGCCATGCCTAATTATGCTATGAATGTGTTTTTGCTGCCCAAAGATTTATGTGATGATATTGAAAAATTGATGAATGGATTTTGGTGGAGGGGCGCCAAATTTGAGCACAAAGGATTAAGATGGAGGCGGTGGGAGGTGTTATGTAGGCCAAAAGATGCAGGGGGGTTGGGTTTCAGGAGAATTAGAGAATTTAATCTAGCCATGTTAGCAAAGCAAGAGTGGCGGCTGATTTCTGATAGTAAGAGTTTGATGAGTCGAGTGTTGAAGGCTAGGTACTTTCCCAAATCTTCTTTTTTAGAGGCTAAGGTGGGCAACAATCCATCTTTTATTTGGCGAAGCATTTTTGAAACTCAAGGTATTTTGAAGGATAATGTTCGAAGAAGAGTAGGGAATGGGGTTGAAGTTCAGGTCTGGGCAGATTCATGGCTACCGGGTCTAGGGTCGGGGAAAATCACTTCAGCCAGACCGCCAGGCATAATAGATATGAATGTTGCGGCTCTGCGGAATATCACTGGCAAAGATTGGAACAGGGAGAGGATTAATAATTTATTTAATGAGGAGGACCGTAAACGTATTTTGAGTGTTCCCATTAGTGTGCAGGATCGGTCAGATGCTTTCTGCTGGGCTGGTGAGCGACATGGTAACTTTTCGGTTAAGAGTTGTTACCGAAAATTAATGGGAGATCAGGACGAGGGAGCCTGGGGAGGATGGAGCAGATTGTGGGAACTCAGTATCCCTCCAAAATTTAAATACTTTACATGGCAAATCTTAGACGACACACTACCAACTGTGGAGAATTTGATGAAGAAAGGTATCCTTATACAAGGGGGGTGTCGGGTTTGTGGTTGTCCTGAGGAAACCGCGGATCATGCTTTGCGTACTTGTCCACGAGCTAGAGAAGTTTGGCACCAAACAGGTATCCAGGTTGATAGCCAAAGGGAAAGCCTCGATCAGTGGCTGAAAAGGCATATTAATCATGCCTCGGGGGATGTGAGGGGAAGAATTATTGCATTGTTGTGGTGCTTATGGATGAGAAGGAATAAATTGGTTTGGGATAATCAGTTCCAAGATTCGAATGGGTGACTCATATGGCAGCTGGTATGCTCAAGAACTGGATGGAGGCTCACTCACGAAGTGCGGCAGCGGTTGCTGGACTTGCAGCCCGTAGCAGTTTAATATCAGGCCGAGGGGAGCTGCAGCGGGCCAGCGAGTTGCAGGGGGAGGTGGAGCAAACCAAAAGGAAGGTTGGGTGAAGGTGAATGTAGATGGAGCAGTCAACCAGGTAGAGGGTATTAGAGCTTGGAGTTGGGTTGCTCGAAATGATCAGGGTGGTTTTGTCAGGGCTTATGGGGCTGCTACAAAAGCTGAATGGTCGGCGGAAGAGACGGAGGCTATTGGCGTGACAGAGGCTGTGCGGGGAGCTTTGGAGGCGGGATGGGACAAAGTGCAGATAGAGTCTGATGCTCTTACAGTGATTAAAGGTCTGCAGCGGCAGAGGGGAGCTTCTTATTTGTCTCTGATTCTAGACGATATTAGTCATTTACTAAAGTCAAAGAGTATGTTTGATATCTCTTTTTGTAAAAGGTCTGCGAATCATGCTGCTCACGCCTTGGCTAAAGCACATGTTAATTCACCAGATTAGCAGGTCATGTATGAGGTTGCTCCAGTTTGTATGTTTAGCCAATTGGCTAATGACCTTTTAGAGTAAAAATATTTATGCCTTTGACGATAAAAAAAATTAGCAAAATGGGGATATTAATGATAAATAAAATAAATCTATGGAAAGTAAAAATAATATTATGTACTCAAAACAATGTTAAAATTTAATTAGAACAAAAATACAATATTGATGTGATTTTGGATTTAGAAGCAAATTAAATAAATTGAGGAATTAATTATTATACAGTTAATCAAATTTATTAAATTATATTTTATTAGTTGTGCAGACCAATAAAATATTGAGTAGGTATGATTATGGAATTCTAATATTACTAGAGGAAGAATTGGAAGGGATACGAGGTTACACAGTAGAATAAACTAGCTATAGA